AGTTCTTACCCGAGAGCTCTCGAGCCAGCGACCGGTGCCGCATCTGCCGTGCAATGTTCACGATCTCATCAAAGCTGACGCTGCCACTGTGCTTAACTGGGAAGGAAAGCAACAGCACCAGTAAGTTCATGTAAACGCAGGCTCTTCCATTTCCCCGCACTTCAGTAGAGAGGGCCCATTCTCAGCGCTCAGACCACGTGGAAACCAGAGCGTTTACAACTGCAGCGGGGCTGCCATGACGGCACAAAGCTACCCACGAGGGTAACAACTCTGTTTCCTAAGCTGGCATTCTGTCAGCTCCCCTCTGGGCTGTACTAGTCACCGCACGACAAGACAGGCAGGGTGGTGGGCAGCTGTGCTACCCCACCTTCCTGGAGACTCAAGTCTGCTGCCGCACCAACTGCCGTCTGCACGCTGACCCTTGAGGAACGCCGGCTGCCCAAGACACAGCCCCACGGCGCCTCTTCGCCAGTTTATGCTGAATAATCTAAGGGGCAGGTACCTACTCTCCCTTCTTCACCCCAAAACACATTCAGAATTAAAGCCAGGCAAAAACTTACTGTTTTTCTGCTTCTTCCTGTCACGAGGAGGCTCCTTCAGAGCTTTGATAATCAGAGCAGAGGCAGAAGGAACAACCTCTATCTAAATGAAAAGAGATTAATTTCCCCCCCCGCTCTCAGCGGAAGCAGGTACCTAAGGAAGGCCGAAGGTAATTGTGGGGCTTTGCTTAGGATGAAGCTTTTTTGTGACACAGAAACTTGTTCCCAGCCTTTCGGCACAGGCCTCCCCACAACCAGAGGAGGACTGCTTCCTAGACTGGGGCTTCCTCTCAGCTCACCACTGGAATATACCAGCCACAGAATTCAGGACAGGTATAGTGGCAGGTGGCTACAGGATTAGTCACGAGATTTTTTTTTGCAATTTCTGTATTGCTTGAAAAGAGTTTTGTTTCCCTGGTCAGGTGTTCTACAAAAGGAACAGTTTATCTGCAACAGGATAAAACACCGACTCCTGCACATGGGCAGATCTTCTCCCACAGCTTGCAGGCAGGGAACCTGCAGCCTGGCAAGCCCCAGGCTTCACACCCCACCCTCTGCCGGATTTGAGCCAGAGGCACTCAGAAGGCCCACGCAGGTGTTTTAAGGTCTTTCCCAGAAGACCCCCACACACTTGCTGTGTGGAACTCATTTTATCCACCTCGGAAGGATGAAGGGCTGAGTCGACCCTGCCGGGATTTCAGCTCGTGGCTGGAGCAAGCAGAGCTCGCCGCCTGCACCACGAAGCCATCCCTTGTGGCGTCCGGTACCTGGGCTTGCCTGTTCTGGATGGTGAGCTTCACCGTGATCCTCAGCCCCTTCCAGTCACCTGTGGCCTTGGCGATGTCGTCACCAACCTTCTTGGGGGACTAAGGAAAGACACGGTGTTATTACACAAACCACCGCTTGCCCCAAAGCACAGCACCTCCGCACAGGCCTCACCGTTTCTTGCGCTGCCCTGTAAGGCCGCTAAACCCCCTCCTCCCCCCAGGCCGAATGGCGGGGCGGGG